TTCACAAAGACTATATAGCATATCAAGCATGTTTTAATCTCTCAGCATGTTTAATATGTTTGCAGGAAAGCAAAGAAAAGTGGGAACAAAGTGAAAATAGATTTGTTTTCTCGCGGTAGATATTAGAAGAGGAAACAAAGTACTCAAAAAAATCTTATGTGAGAAAATACATCCAAAAGTTATTTCATTAAACTGTAATCATGGAAAGATTGGTATACACTGGCAATTTCAGTGAAGATGAAATGTAAATTCATAAGGAGAACATATACTTAAATACACTTTCTCAAAAAATATAGTAACTCGTGCAACACAAGTCAACATTGTTGGTACAATTTCTTCAAGGTATACAATGCACTGGACCAGCAAATGGACTCTTCACGTATTACATCATGTTATGTGAAGGATAACATTCTGCGCAAACAACAGTGAAGTGACACTAAGAAGCATTATTACTGTGCTTCATTACATTAAATTATATTAAACAACCTCATACATGCAAAGGGTTTCCTATCAACATTCACTCACTGAAAGCATGTAGTGAATAATTTCAAACCCATCAGTTGCCCAAGTAACAAATCACAGAAAAAGAGACTGCATTATCACTGATTTACTGGCGAGGCAGTAAAGTAGCAGCAATCAGCTTCATCACAATCTATTTACGTTAATATGCATAGAAGTTCTAAAAGGGATTTCCCCCCCTCTTCTCTCCACACACATTTTATTGTTTGTGCCTTCCTTCTTTGGTTACATACTTACAGGTAAGAGACATATGTGGCGTCAAACAAACTAGATATTTTGGCTAGATGTTCCTTGGAGTATTTTTACGTGCTGATGAACATCAAACCCGTTTCATTTTGTGGTCTCTTAATTTAAATTTTGTTCAATTTTACACATCATTAATTTTCATGGTTTTGGGCTGTTTTATATGTAAGCACTCACAATGAGAATGTTAGCCAGCATTATAGAAAGCTAACAGCATTATTTGAAAAAAATAGAATTTTCCTGCATTTTTGTTGCCTTCAGTAACAATTATTTCCTATGCATTCAAAACACTGTAGCTCTACTTTAAACATCAATGGACTAAATTTCCAATTTCCAGGCTTTCTTTTGTGTTACAAGTGAGGATACAAAAACTGCTGGGTGACATGAAAGCTTTGAACAAATGGGCAGGGGCTGGGCTGGGGGGTAAAAAGCGGCAATTGTTATTTTCTGCAATGCAGAAAGGATCATATGCCTCGAAAAGTTGTTCAAAACCTCCAAATTAGCAACAAGAGTGAACAATACATTTAATTAGTATATTTACTCTTCTGAAATACCCTCCACTGGTTTTATATCTATTTTCTAGGAATTTGCATTTCCATAGGAGAAATCAACATTAATCTTACTCAGATCAAAACACAATCTCTCTCAACAGTGAAGTGACACTAAGAAGCATTATTACTGTGCTTCATTACATTAAATTATATTAAACAACCTCATATGTGCAAAGGGTTTCCTATCAACATTTACTTATTGGAAGCATGTAGTGAATTATTTCAAACCCATCCATTAAATCTGTCATTTTGATCAGCTGATTAAAATATGTTTTTTTCAGCCAATATTTTAAATAGTAGTGAAGATTAAATGTTCAGGCTGAAATCCAAAATAACCCAATTCAGAGGAAGCCAAGAAGAGAAAAAAGTAAAGCCACTGTAAACTTCAACAAATTCCATCTTAGCAAACAACCAGCAAATAATAAGTAACAAAACGTTTCAAAATGGTGTGTGGAAAATGAAAGATGGAATATAAGCCAATTGAAGCAGCTGCACAACTGAACTAGAACAATCTACAATAAAGCAATCATGCTCGTTTTTAAGCAATATTAAGACATGCCTGGCAGACTCAGTAACAAAAGCCACACATCTTAACCAAATAATAGAAAAAGTCCGGAGTTAAAACTAAATATTTTGCGATCAAAATGTTTTTAAAATCAACATGTGAATTCAAAAGAACATCAATACAATCATGTAATTTAAGCTTTCTGGCATCAAAAACATTGCCACATTTCAGTTAAACATGCTGTTCTTATATTGTTTTGTTTATGTACATGTATTTTACAATCTAATTAAAAATTGAAAAAAGTGAGTCGCTGCAAAATTTGACAATACCTTGGTAGCCAACACAATGAAATTGAAAAAGATGCATCTCATTGTTCACTTGGAGATAAAATAAAAAAATTAGTACCCAAAGCCCTTGGATTCTCCCCATGCCTCAAAATTAATATTTAGCTGTACAGAAACACAAAGGTCCCAACTTCTATCTCTGGTCAATGCTTAGTTAACTGATCTCAGTTTAAATGGCAGAATAACACTGCACTTGACCATTGTTTCAGGGCTGGAAAGAAATCCATCAGGGCTTCCATGCTACCTTACTGAATTCGTTGAGCACAAAAACGTTGTTTACCGTTGTGAAAAATAGTCACTTAGATGAGGTAAAAGCAAGCCATAAGTGTCATAATAATAATCTTTGCACTTGATATAGCACGTTTAATGTCTGAAACACATCATAAAGGTTTCCACAGAATATACTGTAAATTGAAATGACTTTGTTTAGATGTGGAATGTGGCAGCCAATTTGTACACAGCAATGTCTCACCAACAACCATGAAATTAGTTTTGGGGGAATAATATTTGGGGGATTGCTGGCCACGATATTCAAATAGTAACATTCAGATCTTTTGGATCTTTATCACCACCTGAACAAGCAGACAAGACCTCAATTTCACATCTTATCTGAAGTTATGGTCCTCTAACATTACTGCATACCACCCCAACATTGGAGTGTCAGCCTAGACCAAGTAGGCCTGAGCCTTCTGATTTTGAGGCAATAATACTACCGATTGAGCCAAGATGATGCTTTGAGAAAAGTGACATCCCACTGAAAGCAATGGAATTCCATGGAGTGACCATCTTCAGGAAAGTTATGGTCATCGGTATTTTGTGTGACAACTTGCCAAATAGTTATATTTTACGTCAATTTTCTAATCCAATTTAAATACAAAAGCAATTTCCATGGAACACAAATCACTGTTTCCCAAACAGCTATTTCCAAGTTATTAGTTATGGTACCTTGTCACAGTTGTTCCATGTTATCTACAGATTAGTACAAGTTTAATCAAGCAATAAAATCCAACTATATTTTAAAAAAATAGCTTTTCGGTAAGATTCCAACTGCAGTACCATATTGTGCAGTAACCAAACCCTGCCTAAAAAATAAAACTTTAATCCATGGGGGGGGAGGGGACAGAGGGAAGGAAGATCGTGTTACTGGTCAGGAAAAAGTAGGTGATCCGTGATGTACATACAGTGATTAAACATCCTCGTGTTCTGCTGAGTGGGACATTTGCTCCCCTCCCCCCTCCTAAAAAAATGGCATCAAAGCAATCAAAATGGCAATGTTAAGCATGAATGAGGACCCATCCCCCTTCAAACTCCGCTCTCTTCATTGCATAGTTTTCTCCATGTTAGGAAAAAACACAACACCCCTTTCTTACAAAATGGAAGCTTCCACTACGAAACTGAATGTGCTGGCAAGCAAATAAAATACAATTTCCTCCCCCCACCCCCCAAAAATAAGAATTTAAAATGGTTAATTTCCAATCCGACTGACAATGTCGCTGATTGACCTTAAAGAGTTGCCCCTTTCGATTTGCAGCCAAATTAAGACTCGTTTCCAACTTGGTGCTGCAAGCTGCATTCCAAAAGAAACAAGATCAATGGAGTTGAGAAAAGCTCAATGCGCTGAGCGCAAGCATTTTAATTTTTGTAACTACATAATGCGCAGAAAGCTTTGTGTGTGTTAATAGCACAGCAAAGTTGCACTTTTTGGAAAATGAAAAGATCGCTGAGAAGCAGAGTGCTGGACAGCGGCAGTGCGTTAAATGGCACTGTTCGTGGTTCTGAAATCTGTTCCATTGTAACAATCAGGGCTCTCCGCTAGAAGCTCCATCAACTGCTCCAAGTACACAACAAAGTCGGCCTTTAGAGTTCTCGGACGCCAACATTTGGATAATTTTAACTCCCTCTCAAAAGAAATGCAAGTCCGGAGTTCACCCCCAACCCCCGCCCCCGACACACACTTTTTTAATGATGGAAAATAAAAAGCAAAGTGATGCGGAGCCCGAATCAAAAGCTTATACGTCAAATCAGAACAAGGAGACAAGAGCACAGTAAATCAATAAAAACAATCAAATAAACTATTTAGGAATTCAGGTAAGAAATCAGTGAGACCTCCAGTTACATTTCCCGTTCTGCAGCATCACACGAGCAGGCTTTATAAACTTAATGTGAAATGTAGTTGCCAGTTTTTCCCCCCTTCTCTTCCACACTTGGAAAATATGTCGACCTATCCAAAATGGACGCCTCAGAATTTCTCTACTTAAGCCAGGCCACAACTTCACTTTATTTCGAAGCAAACTGGATCTTCAAAACAAATCAACATTTAAACTTTAGCAACAAATCGAGATATAAGTTTATTTCGTCACACATCCCTTTTACCTTGAGAGGTTACACATTCATTCCAACCAACACACACAGCCCCCCCCCCCCCCTCCTCCTCTGTCCTCTCTCCCCTCCCCCCACGCTTACTTTAAGTGAAAGTCATCACAAATATTAAATGGCTACTGTATACATTAAAACGTGGTCACAAGCTAAACCAGTTTCTCGCTTGTTCTTCACTAAGGTACATCATTCTGGATTATCTTTCGTGGAGTTGTTTAGCTCCGTTCTGGTAAAATATAGATTTTTTTAAAAATACATCTGCGATTTCTAGGATACGCAGGAGAAAATATATAGACTGTATATACTTTTTTAAAAAATACAATGTTAGTTTTTGTCACCGCGAGCTGCACACTCTCCAGCCACTGCTTCTGCGAAATGAGAGATCTCCACTGATAAAGTTTCTGATCATCTTCCCCAAGCATACCAGATAACAAAACACTTAAGGAAATAGATTTGTTTTACCTGTGGATCTTGCTTCATCTGTGCAACTAGTTTCTAAAAAAAAATTAAATGGATATACAGATATAAACAATTTTTTTAAAAAAAAATAAAAGGTCAGACAACGGTATAAGTTATCATGATTGGGAGGAACAAAGAGGCACGCAAACACTGCCAGTCAGTTTCGAGCAGCTCATAAATATTCAAGTCTCGTACTAATCTCCACACACACACACACACACAACCCAACCGCAATATCACTCCAAATCCTTGTTGCTCTAAACTCGAACAAACATCGCTTAAAACTCGTCACAAAGTTTAAAAAAAATCACAGTTACAAACGCATCGAGGAGGTGTATTACTGAAATGCGGACTGAAAATGCAAAAAAAAAAGGGTTGGGGGGGGGGGGGGGGGGTCTCGTTCACTTGTTCCACTAAAGAACTGCACAGCTTTCTCTCTCTCTCCCCCCCACTCACTCGCCTTTGATCCCCCTCAGCTGTTCCTCTCTCCCATTATCTCAACCACCAGTCAGACTTATAAGGTTTATTAGTCCTTTACCTGATGACACTGGATTTCTACTTTCAGTGCCTCTTGAAGGCTTTGCATCTCCATGGTTTGTACTTCAAAAGCACTTTTTTTTCTCAAGACACTTTGAATCCGAGCGAAATGAAGTTGGAGGATATTTTTTTGTGTGGTGGTGGTGGTGCTGGTGCTGGTTTGCTTGTCCTTTTGTGTGTGTTTGCTCACGTTCGTGCGTGTTTTAATCAAACTCGAGAATGGTTTCCCACCCCCCACCACCACCTTTGCGATTTTTTGTGTCCCAAAGAAAAAAAAAGCCAACAAAAGCCGACGACGACAACAACAACCGAACAGAACAAGTACACTCAGTCTGCAAAGCAAGTTCTTGCCTCTCTCGCTACGGGCACAGGACTCATCACTCACTTTACGCCATTTTTCGCAAAACTCTCCCCAAAGCGGCTCAGAAGAGTTCCCGCCGGCCCCCACCCGAGCGCGACCGCGACACCCGCGTGAGTCCGCGGCGGATGGCCCGACCTCCGGCCCCGCGGCCGTTAAATTTCCGTTAAGGTTTTGAAAATTCCGGGGACTATATTCGGCGCGAGCGAGCGCGCCTGGATTTCACTTTGCTCTTGAGCAAAAGTTGTGCCTCGGCTGCCAAGGCTAATGCCCGGGTACCCGGATGCAACTATGGAAGCGAACAACCAACCACCCCCCAACCCACCCCCTCACTCGCTCGCTCGCTCGCTCCCTCCCACTCCGCGCGCGCGCGCCCGCCCCGCCCGCGCGCCCGAGAAGGAGCAGTGCGCACGCGCGCTCCCCTCAGCACACACACACACACACACACAGATCAGCTGCACTACATAAGTAACTTACACAAGCACTCACTCTCTTCTCTCCTCCCCCCCCACCACCGCCCCCTTTATTCTTTCTTTTCCTTCGTGCTCACATCGTATTATTGCCGACCCGCCCCTCCGTGGGTATTTGGCTGTTTTTTTTTAAACCACATGCCCATGTTTTCTCATAACCTTTCTAAGGCATCGTAAAGGCATTTTTTTTTCCCCAAAAAAATACATTGAACGTCAATGCGTTAACGAAACCGGTAAAGTAAGTCGGCTTCGAGGATGTTTACAACCCACATTTGCACTTCTTCTTGCTGCATTAAAACAAAACTGACAAAAAAAATAGCCACGTTTTACTTTGCACTACATTTGCTTTAAAGTTTTATTTAGTTCGCAAATCGCAATATTATAGAGGAGGAGATGGCGACTGTGAGGGAAGCGATTTGGGGTTGTGCGGATTTGAACTCCACATTCCTGCTGCAGCAGAAGTGCTGTATTATCAGATTTGGCTGTACAATGGTGGAGGGTTTTTTTTTGGCTGCGTTCTTTGGGGTTCTCGCAGAGTTGAGGAAGTCGACCACTGAGCGGGAGAAAACGCTGTAAAGTACCGTGACATTTTTTTTAAAAAAAATATTCAATGCAGTCAATTTGCTGAACAAAACCCGGAGTTGAACATTGGAGAATTCTGCATAAAAACAACTTCATTAGCACTTTGTACATTTTTTTAATCCCAAGCCTTGCTCTGGATTGACGGCTGCTTGGCCCAATGAGAGCTCGCCAGCGGCCCACCGGGGAGGGCGGGAGCTGCGGCCCTTCAGCGGGATGGCATCGCGGCTGCGCGCATGCGTTGATTTTTTTTCATTATCACACCGTGCACCGGGGTTTCGGTGTTCAAATGTCACATGTGAAACAGAAAGCAAAATGCGTTGCAGGGAGTGCGGCGATCTGGGCTGCAAAGCGAGACGGGAACTGAGCGCGGCTCAGTCAGTGGGGCGCGCGCTCTCAAAGTTTGATTCATTAGTTGCAGAGGACGAGACGAGTTCGGGCTCCTGACTGACAGCCCGTGGAGGGCGGGGCCGTGCGAGGTCCCCGCCCCCCCCAGCGTCAGCCAATCACAAGTTGCGCTGCGGGGCGAGAAGGCGAAACGTTCGGAAATGGAACGCTTGCTGACGTCAGGGCGCCAATCGGCGGCGGCGGCGGCGGGGAGGAGGGGGGGGCGGGGCCTGAAGCCAAGTAAAGTCTTGGAGTTGCGAGGAAGAGGAATGGGGAAAGAAAAGGGGGAAAAAAAAGGTTCACAGCCAAAGGGGTGGGAATGGGGCGAGACATCGGGAGGAGCGCCGCGCTCGGGGGAGAGAGCGAGAGGGCAAGTTGAGATCGCGCACAATTCATTTACTCCTTTTTTTTAAAAAAAACATTATATATGGAAAAAAAAACAAACCACACAAAAAAAACCTCCCCCGAAAATCAGCGAACATTCCTGCACGGCGACTGGTCTGAAAACACACACACACACACCACACACACACACAACCAATAAAGGCGTTTACTCTACTCTCGATTCCTAATGAATCTCCTCCGACCTCAGCGTCCGCGGGTCAGATTGAACAGCGCCGCTGCCGTGTGCGGCGCGGCTCTCGGGCGCAATGAATTACATTTTGCAACGCGGTGTTACTTGTTCGCAAACGGAAACGCAAACGCAAACGAAGGTGTGTCGGTAACGGTTCCCGACGACCCCGCTCCGTATCAAAGCAGTGCGCGAGTCGGCCCGACTGCTGTTGTAAAGTCGGTGCTCAGCTGCTTGCGGTAAACCGCTGGGCCTCACCGCGGAGGGCATATTAATATTACAGGGGAGGAGAGACCAGGAAGTGTGTGGTGGGGGGGAACCCTATCAACGTCGAATTCGTGCTCTGGACGATGTGACGAGCGCATTGCAAACAACGCCACTCTTTTGTTGGAACATTTGAGTTTCCCTGACGAGATCGCGGAATTAGTTATGTACATATTCGTAAATGCATCAGTAATCTGGGTTCCCCTCCCCCGTTTAACCTTGGATCCACGATGCTACTGCTCTCGCTCTGCCCTCACGGCGTATCAGTCGCTGTTACTTTTCATGGCTCAGCGGTGAAACTCTGGAACTCCTTTCCTGAACGCCCAGTTCCCCCCTTTCAGTGCACCATCGACTTTTACCAGTTGTACAGCAAGTCAATAAATGCAGTTTTCTTTATTGTATTTCTTCTTCTCGGCTGCGTGAAGCCACAGCAATGCACGAACGCAAATCAGGACTCCACTCGAGGATATCACATTGTGGCGTTTGCAAAAAGGGGCTTTGGAAGTGCATCGCTCAGAAACATCACTGAATGAATCACAAAGCGAAATGCGCAAATTTGTGCTGCAGTGGGCAAAAAGTGCTTTTGAATATTTCATGGTGGTGTTTCTTCCAATATTAACGTAGTTAGTTTACTATTCACGTGTGGTTCTTAATCTGATATTACTGTTCTTGAGGGAGAATCTGGGCAACGTGAGTAAAACCAGTCTATCCGAAATCTGTCAAGTGAGGGGCAGATGAATGATGATTTCAAAATAGTCAAAAGATCAAGTGCAATATTTAGACCCAACAGATTGGATTTTAATAGAAAACCCAATTTACAAAACCAAAAAATCTCCAATATAGGATTATTTGGATAATTGCATTGTGCAAATAACCCCTCATTAAAAATACTTAAACGTTTTAGTTTTTAACATTTTTTGTGAAAAAAACAAATCTCACCTTCAGTCACATCACATTGTATTGAAACACCTCCCTGTAAATATTTTTCATAATTTATATTTGTGACAAATAATATTTTTGCAAAATCATACTATTTGAACTACATATGTAAATAAAGGCAGAATCCACAATATAAAAGAGAACAATTGGTATAGATGTTTCCAGAAACTCATGCTTACCACATAAAGTTGTGCTCCCAAATCATGTATAACTTTTGAATGAAACTGGAAACAAAAGGACAAAGGAATATTTGAATACAATTGTTTACTTTTCAAAATTATTTGCAAAAAGTAAATCTTACAACTGCAAGTTATGTCCCATGACTAACTTAACATTGAAATATATTGTATATCGATCCAGAAAAAATTTAATTGTATGAAGTTAGCTATCATCATTCAGTGAAACATTAAGGTTGAAATGAAATGTACATGTGATAATATTGTGAATATCAAATCAAAACTGTACTACACATATTTGAACACATTGTAGAACAGATTTCTCTGATTGATGTTTTATTGTTCTTCCAAAAGAAAATTGTGCATCATAGTGTGGCCAATTTTGCTAAGAATATGGGGGTGAAAGGCTTTCTTGAAACTAGCAAAAATTCACAAAAAGGTCTCCAATGACTGCATTCTGGAAGAATCTGTATGCATTTACATGAATTAAAACAATATGTACTTATTACAGTGCTTTACAATGTATTAAGTCTCAAATGTGATTTCGTTGAGAAATAGTGATGACCAGCAATAATACATTTCTTCCCTATAGAGAAGTTGTTTATTGGAATGATGCATAATAATTTGTTGCTCATACATTGCTTCTTATTTGCACAGTCTGAATATTTTTCGTAATAGAGTTTTTCCAGTGTGCACCGCTGGTTCTGCCTTGGGTATTAATCAGTTAAAAGCAAAATAATTAAGCCTGCGCTACCAATGGGACTGGAAAATCCTGTGTCCCACTGGAATAATTTATGAGAGAAAAAGATCTCTTACTTAAACTGTGCTTTGCAAGTTGTTTTACAGTAATTGTTACAAGGCATGAACTGAATGCTTGCAGATGAGCAATATGCCAATGGGAGTGCCACTTTTTGCTCATCAGTGTTTTTCTCATCAGAAGATTTTACAGCTCAATCCTAAGTTTTTAAACCATCTCCCTGACCACTAGTCTTGGTTTCATTCTTCACTACTGCTAGTAGTAAATAAATATATAAGTAACATATTATAAAGGCATTAAATCAAAGAACAAAGCCCAAAGTTCATTAAACTACTGGCTGAAAACGAGCAGACAAAAAATAAATCAAAAAGTGATGGGGAATGCCAAGTTTGGATTCAGAAACCTTGTACAAGGTAAGAAGTCCCACAGTCTTTTTCTCTGGGGCAAGGATTTGAGTGAGACACAATAAATTGGATTACAACACAGTGAGAATACAGCCAGGAGGAAGAGCAAGTAGGACATTTGGAATTTAGGAGAAATAAGAGAATGGTTCAAAGGAGAAACAAATATTTAAGTATCCATAAAAAAAGAGGATAGGAATGATTCAAATAGGGAGAGAGCATGGAGCTCACTGCGGGGAGAATGACTGACCAGAAAATTAGCCTTTTCTTGGTACCTTTGAAGGGAAAAGTTTGGCACAAAATTAGAAACTAAGCTTTTTGGAGACTGTTTGAAATAACAATGTCAGATCGTGAGAGCCAATG